AATCCTTGTGATTCTCTCTCTGGGTGTGGAGCCTGATGTGGGGTTCTGTCTCATGACCCTGAGATCATGACCTGAGCCAAAATCAAGAGTTGGATGCTTAACCAACAGAGACACCCAGTGCTCCTACTTTTAATCTCTATGTCTTTATATCTAATGTGGGTTTCTTGCAGACAACTTATTGTTTGGGTCCTGTTTTATCATCCACTCTGACAATCTTTGTCTTAACTGGTGCATTTAGACCATTCCAAGTGCTTATTGATATAGGTAGATTAATATCTGCCATGTTTGTTACTGTTCCCTGTTTGTTGCCCTTGGTTTTTGCTTCTATTTTGGTCTTCCACTCTTCCACATTTTGTAGTTTTAATTGAGTATCCATGTGATTCCATTTTCTCTTTCTTAGCATATCAGATATATTTTGTGTGTGTGTGTGCTTTTCTTAGTTGTTGCCCAGGAATTTGAATACATGTTTACAGTTATCTCAAGTCCACTTTCAAATAACACTATACCACTTCATGGGTAGTGTCAGTAACTTAAAATAACAAAATATTTCTAATTACTCCCTCATGTCCATTGTATCATTGCTGTCATTCATTACGTATATACATACACACACATATATAAAATATACATAATTAAAATTTAATTATATAACATATTGCTATTAGAATAATATATATAATGTATAATGTTATAGCTATTATTATTTTGAAAAAAAAACCTGTTATCTGTTAAATCAATTAAGAACAAAGTTTTTATTTTACCTTCACTTATTCTTTCTTGGGTGCTCTCCTTGGTTTGTGTAGATCTGAGTTTCTGACCTCTCATTTTCCTTCTCTCTAAAGAACTTTAACATTTCATGCAAGGCAAGTTTACTCGTAACAAGTTTCCTCCATTTTTGTTTGTCTGAGAAACAAATTTGTCCTTCACTTTTGAAGAATACAAATTTCTGGGTTTTTTTCCCCCTTCTAGTACCTTAAATGTTTCATGATAGTCTCTTGTGTGCATGGTTTCTGAGAAGTTGGATGTGATCTTTATCTTTACTCCTTTATCAGTCAGGCATTGTTTTCCTCTAGCTTCTTTCAGGAATGACCTTTTATCTTTGATTTTTGTAGTTTTTTTTTTTCCTTTTCTTTTCTTTCTTCTTTTTTTTTTTTTTTTTTTTTTGCATTTATCCTGTTTGGTGTTCTCTGAGCTCCCTGGATCTGTGGTTTGGTATTTGAAATTAATTTGGGGGAAATTCTCAATGATTATTGTTTCAAATATTTCTCTCCCATTCTCTTGTCTCCTTCTGGTATTTTTATTATGCATATACTAAACTTTTGTAGTTGTCCCACGGTTTTGGCATATTCTATTCCATTTCTTTAAGTCTTTTTTTTTTTTTCTGTTTGCTTTTTATTTTTTGGAGGTTTCTCTTGATACATCCTCAAGCTCAGAGAGTCTTTCCTCAGCTATGTCTAATCTAATAATGAACACATCAAAGATACTCTTTATCTGTCACAGCGTTTTTGATTTGTAGCTTCTTTTTGGTTCTTTCTCTGAACCTTCATCTCTCTGCTTACATTGCATAACATGTACTACGTTCATTAGAGCTGTTGGCCTATTAACCACAGGTGTTTTAAATTCCTAATCTGATAATTCCAACATCTTTGCCATATCTGGGTCTGGTTTTGTTGTTACGTTTCTGCTTTCTCTTCAAGCTATGTTTTCTGCCTTTTAGGATCATCCTTTTTTTTTTTTTCTTGATAGCCAGACATGATGTGCTGGGTAGAAGGAACATAAATAAGCCTTTAGTCATATGATGCTAAGGTGTAGGACGGAGGGGAGAAGTCTGTAGTCCTATGACTAGCTCTGTCTTCTGGGGGGCCTATGCTTCTGGATTGTGAACTTCATACGAGCTTTCCAGTCTGCACCCACCCACCATGTGCTACCCTTAGGTTAGGTGGAATTGGATGGCTACAGTGGCCAGAGCTGGTGTTTCCTTTCTCCCATGTGGAAGGCCAGAGCTGGCTGGGTTTGGATATTTTGGGTCAGTGAGGCTCCAATAAAATCCCAGCTGGTTATGTCCTGGTTAAATAGTTTCTCCTGACAGTAGACCTTGTTAAGTAGAACAAAATGCTGCTGCGGAATATTTCAGAATGTTTCCTCTCCCCCTTCTCCTAGCCAGAAGCTGGGATTTTTCTCTGATATTCACTGTAAGGGCGAGGTCAGCTATTGGAGGTGATGCGGACATAACTGTGAGGGGCCCCTCACACCTGGGTCCCCCTGGAGTTTTTAACTTTCAAAGGTATCCACACTGCGCCTCTAGCAATTTGTCAGTTATAGGTCAAAGTTTCCCTCTCCTGGGCCTGGTTCCCATGGAGGTTGCGGCTCCTGGATTTCTGTTCTATAATTTGGGATTTCTTATAGTTGCCTGGGTCTCCAATTTGGGGGGGAAGCAGTCCGCTCTGTGACCTCACTTGTCTTAAGAATCTAGGAATAGTTACCAATTTCTCCATTTGCTCGGCTCTTGATTTGTTGTGAAGATGGAGTGGTAGCTTCCAAGCTGCTTACATGGCAGACCAGGAATGAGAAGTCTTTCATTCCTTTCGTATTACCCTAGTAATAGTTCATTGTGTGAATATGCCTCATTTTCTCTGTTCATTCATCAGTGGATGGATATTCGAATTGTTTCCTTTTGTTGTTGTTGTTGTTTTTAAAATTATTCCGGATAATACTGCTATGAGCACCCATATTCAAGTTTTTGTGTGGACATATGTTTTCATTTCTGTTAGGTATACACCTAGCAGTGAAGTTGCTGGATCAGATATGAGCACATATCAGGAATTACTGAACTATATTCCAAAAGGGAGGCACCATTTTACATTCCCACCAGCCATGTGTGAGAGTTCTGAGTCCTCTATGTTCTTGCCAACACTTGTTATTATCTGACTATTTGATTATAGACATCCTAGTGGGTATGAGGTGGTAACTCAATATGGTCTTTTTTTAAAAAAGATTTATTTATTTATTCATGAGAGAAAGAGAGAGAGAGAGGGGCAGAGACACAGGCAGAGGGAAAAGCAGGCTCCACGCAGGGAGTCCCATGTGGGACTCGATCCTGAATCCTGGGATCATGACCTGAACTGAAGGCAGACATTCAACCGCTGAGCCATACAGGTGTCCCTATATGGTCTTTTTTTAAAAAATATTTTTTTTATTTATTTATTTGAGAGAGAGAGAGAGAGAGAGAATGAGCAGAGCGGGGGGATAGAGAGGGAGAAGCAGACTCCCTGCTGAGCTGGGAGCCTGACGCAGGGCTCCATCTCAGGACCTGGAGATCATGACCTGAGCCAAAGGGAAACACCCAAACGACTGAACCACCCAGGCACCCCTCAATTTATATTTGATTTATATTTTCCTAACGGCTAATGATATTGAACACATTTCCATGTGCTTAGAGCTCATTCACGTATCTTCTTTGGAGAAATGCCTATTCAGATATTTTGCCTATTTTAAAATCAAGTTTTTTTTTATTGTTGAATTTTGAGTGTTTTGTTACGTCTTCTAGATACAGATCTCTCATCTGGGAGCACCCAGGTGGTTCAGTCAGTTAAGCGTCTGCCTGTGGTTTAAGTCTTGATCCCGGGTCCTGGGATCCAGCCCCACGTTGGGCTCCCTGCTCTGCTGGGAGTTTGCTTCTCTCTCTCCCTCTGCCCCTCCCCACTGCTCATTTTCTTTCTTTTCTTTTCTTTCTTCTTTTCTTTTCTTTCTTTCTTTCTCTTTCTTCCTTTCTTTCTCAAATAAATAAATAAAATATTTAAAAAAACCCAAATCATTAATCTGATATATGATTTGCAAATGTTTTTTTTTTAAAGATTTTATTTATTTATTCATGAGAACACACAGAGAAGAGAGAGAGAGGCAGAGACACAGGCAGAGGGAGAAGCAGGCTCCATGCACCGGGAGCCCGACGTGGGACTCGATCCCGGGTCTCCAGGATCGCGCCCTGGGCCAAAGGCAGGTGCCAAACCGCTCCGCCACCCAGGGATCCCCGCAAAAGTTTTCTTCTGTTGTGTGGGTTGTTCTTTCACCCTCCTGATGGTGCCTTCTGAAGTGTAAGAGTTTTTCATTTTGATGATGCCCAGTTTCACATCATTGCTGCTGTTGCTGCCTATGGCCTGTGTGTGTGGTGTTGTAAGCTAAGGAACCAATGTATAATGCAAGTTCCCAAAGATTGACAACTATGTGATCTTCCAAGAGCCTTGTGGCTTTAGTTCTCACATTTAGGTCTTTGGTGTGTCTTGAGCTAATCTTTGTAGATGGCATGAGGCAGCGGTCCAACTTCATTCTTTTGCAGGTAGAGTTTATTTGCCTCAGCATGATCTGTTGAAAAGACTAATCTTAATCTCTCAATTTTTAAGTGTTTGGCACCCTTGTTAAGGAAGCAATTGACCTAAAATATGAGGGCATATTTCTGGATCCTGAGTTCTGTTCCATCTATCTATATGTCTGTTCTTATGCCAGTACTATAATGCTTGATTCCTGTCACCTTTTGTATGTGGTAAGTTTTGAAATTGGGAACTGTGAGTACTTCACCTTTATTCTTTTTCAGGGTTGTTTTAGCTATTTTGCTTTTGTTTAGTAGCCATATAAGTTTTAGGATCAGTTTGTCAATTTTGGAAAAGTGATGGGATGCTGCTGAATCTGTAGATCATTCTGGAAGGTATTGTTACCTTAACAACAGTAAGCTAGTAGTGAATCCATGAATATGAGATGCTTTTCCATGTATTTGTGTCTTCTAAAATTTCTTCCAACAATGTTCTATGGCTTTCGGAGTATATGTTTTTTGTTAAACATACATGTTTTTTGTTAAATGTATTTCTTTTTTGATGCCTTTATAAATGGATTTTGTTTAGTTTTTCCCCCAGAGTGTTCATTCCAGGTGTATAACAAGACAATTGATGTTTTGATATTAATCTTGTGTTTTCTAACCTGCTGAACTTACTCAATCTTTTTTTCAGATCCCATTTAAAATTATGAAGGGACACCAGCACATTGTCACTTCCTGTAACTTCTGTGTGGATGACACAAAGCTGCTCAGTGGGTCCTATGATTGTACTGTGAAGCTGTGGGTAGGTGGCCTGGTGTAGCTGGAATGACAACATCTCAGGAGGGGATGTATCTTGTGGAGAGTGCGCCAGTACTGAGTCCCCACATATTCAAGGATCCAAAAGATTCAGAGAGAACTTTCTGAGCAGAATGCAATAAGGAGAAGCCCAGGGAGGGTCCAGCCCTAGTGTCAAGCCACTGGAGAGAGATGGGTTTAGTGTAGTTGCTGCGAGCCTGTTGACTTGGAAACAGTGGGAAGGGGGGATGGGGATCTCTTGTTGGACAGCTCCAGCTGTGCCTAGGGCTTACCTGGGATCTCTGACCTGTGACATCTCTTTGGTTCTCCTCCCCACTTTAGAAAATTCACTTCCATCCACAGAGATGGTCTGGCCAAGCCTAGGTGGTCACAGTGGACAGAGAAGTGGCCAGGACTGGGACCTGTCCATGAGGGGTGGTTGGGAAGGGCAGGCTTGAGCATGGGTCAGTGCCCCCAACGTGTAGGAAGCAGGGGTACAAGGAACAGGGGTGTGATGAGCAAATGAGGTTGCTAAGACGTGACCCCTGAGAACTCTTCCAAAGCCACTGGGCATAACCCACAGATGCTGGAAGGCCTGTCTGGGGGTTTTGCTGGTCAGTCAGGGTAGAGTGATGAGGGAGTGGAGATGGGGGATGGCAATGGCCATCAGGGGTTGGGCCACAGATGGCTGTGTGGCTGGGGCTGGGCCCATGGGGAACGACAGTCCGTTCTGCATTTTTCCATCTCCTCTGGCTTCAGGGGCAGAAGGGAATAGAACTAAATCTGGGCTGGTTCCTGGGTTCAGGTGAAGGATAGCTCCTCACTCTCCAGATGACCACAGAGGTCATCTTCTGTGTCATCAGGGGGTACCAAGGCCAGGCACACTAGACAGGAAGGTTTGGGGGTTGTCCAAGTGGTTCAGCTGTGTGACCCTGGGCGGTTACATGACCTCCTGGGCCTCCTTGAAACTCTCCAGGTCCAGCTGCATGCTGGGGCTACCGTGGGGCCTGCCTGGCCCGTACCTGGCTCTAACAGGCATCCATCCTCACGTCTGCTGTGGCTCATGATCTCCTCCTGGAGCCTTAAACCCTTTCCCAAACTTCTGGGGTGACTGAGAAGCCAGGGGCGAGGGGGCTTTGCTGGTTGTCATCACCCAGGGGAGGGGGAGGGCAGCTTCCCCGTGTGCATCCTGCTTGACCAACTCAGATTGCCCCCCCACATTCTTCTCTCCGTTTGAATTCACAGAAGGACTCACAGGGTTTCTATCTGTTTGGGCCAAAAGGCTCTTGACTCTAAAAAGGGAAATCTGCCTGTTTTCTCCTGTCCCAAAATGAGAGACCATCCACCGAGATGTCCCTGGTTCCCCACAGTGACCTGACTGCCTCATCCACGCTGCTGTATCCATGATGCAGTCACTTTGGCCTTTCCAAGTGTCCCGATAACCAGCCTTGCTCATGGCCTTGCCTGCTTGTGCCACTTTCTCCAGGTCCCTCCCTGCACCCCTCCCTGCCCAGAGTCTCCAGTTGTCTACCTTGGCTGATTGCACTTTCTCCAAGAAGTCCTCTTTCCTCCTCCTGGTTCTTTTTTCCCCAATTTTGCCCTTTGGCTGGCTCCCCCTGTGGCTCTCCCTGCCCTGGCACAGCTGCCATTCCCGAGCACTCCCTGGGGAGATGACTCAGCCATTACCCGGCATACTGCCCTCTCCTATCGCAGTATCTTGGCCAAAATGTCCCTTTGCCTCTCCCTCCGCTCCCCACTCCTGTTACTTCCCATCACCTGTCTCCTCCTCTTGGGTCTCCCCTGGAGCCCAAGCATCTGATTTAATCTTTTGGAAGTTCCCTTCACCCTCGCTGTGGACCCCTGTGAATGATTTGGAAAGTCCATAGGTGTGTGAAGAAGCTGGGGGGAAAAATCATTTTTTATTTTGAGAGAAAGTGGTAGGGGGAAGGGACAGAGGGAGAGAGTCTCAAGCAGATTCCGTGCTGAGTGTGGAGCCTGAAGCAGGATTCAGTCTCATAATGGTCAGATCGTGACCTGAGCTGAAACTAAGGGTCAGATATTTAACCAGCTGAGCCCCCCCACGAGCCCTGCGGAAAAAAAAATCATTCTTAATTCTGCACCTAATATCCCTCTACGATATCGGCATGCCTCTTCCAGTCATTAAGAAATAGCAACTTTGGTGGATTTTCTCACGGCACAGAGAGGAAATGAGAGCCATCATTTCATGACCCTGAAGCTAAGTGCTGTGAAAATGTTGGAATATATGTTTATTTTTCTTGTTTTCCCACGTATACATGGGTTCACAAAATTGAGACCATAAAGGAACACTATTTATATAACTGCGATAAGCTTGGCCTGGGGATATTGTCACATTTCCCTATTTTCCCAACTGTTCGTTGGAGCCACTCTTTCCCATTCATTTAAGGTCTGACCAGCACCCCTGCCTTGAATTATCTGAGTCCACAGAGGGGTTCCTGGCTCCAAATGCCAGGTGAAGGGGGAGCGTCTTTCACTTATTTATTTCAAGAAATATTCAATACAGGGACACCTGGGTGGCTCAGCGGTTGAGCATCTGCCTTTGGTTCAGGGTGTGATACTGGGGTCCTGGGATTGAGTCCCTCATTGGTTTCCCTGCAGGAAGCCTGCTTCTGCCTCTGCCTGTGTCTGCCTCTCTCTGCGTCTCTCATGAATAAATAAATAAAACCTTTTTAAAAAAGAAACATTCAATACAAAACAGAGACATTTCCACTGCCTCTGGAATTTGCTAACAGAATCTGGCTTGTTTGCCATCCATCTCCTGTGGAGGGATTCGCTTGACAGCAGTGCACCTGTTCTGGAGGGTGCTCCTCTGCGGGCGCTGTTCCTTCTCTTGGCCATAAGGTGTCACTATCAGATGCTGAAGATGCCCAGGATCCCTGGTGGCAGTTCCTTTCCAGGGCTGCCCTTAGCTGGCCCAGGGGGTGGGCTCCCTGCAGACTGCAGTTCTGGGCCCCACAGCGATGGTTTTCTTAGTTCTGTGTTCGTGCTGGAGCCCGAGCCAGGGAGGCCGGATCGCAGGCTGCCCGGACCGGTTCTTTCCTCTGAAGCCACTAGACTTGTGAGTCCATGGATGTGTCCTGTCCTGGTGAGCTCCTTGGATTCCTGCTGTCCCCTCATACCGCTGATCAGGGCCTGCTGTGCTACCCAAACGTGACCCCACTATTTGATGTCTTAGGGAAGGAGGGTTGAGGGCCTGGGTCGTGCAGAAGAAAAGGGTTCACCTGGCGGGTCTGAGGCCGCCGGCAAGGATGGCATTGGCCAGCATCTGGGAGCTGGACTGACCCATGGTGTCCTGCAATCTGCTAAGAGATAAAGGGGGCTCAGCGTACCCGGACTGCGGCATAAGCCATGTGGTTTATGCTGAGCACCCGCTTTCCTTCTGGGAGTCTGCATTTTGGTGTACACGAGAAAATCCCCCCAAAAACCCTGGGCCCCAAGGCTCGGGCACATCTCCCCAGTAGAAGACATGTCACAGGTGGCTGGAGGAATTAGTCGTGTCCCATATGTCCCCCTGGGAGAGACTCTTGGAAGCTTGCCCCCCCCCCCCCCCCGCCCCGACTCCAGTCTCCTCTGGGCTCCACCTCAGGCTCCTTTCCCTTTGCTGATTTTGCTCTGTCCTTTGCTGTAATACAGCTCAGCTGTGGGTCTATCTGTGGGTCCTGGAGAATCACCCAGCCTGGGGGGCGGTCTTGGGGACCCCTGACACAGGGTCCTTCCCACCCCGCCCAGCACGATCAGGCTCCTAACACGGAGTGGTCTGTGCCGTCACAGGCCCGCCTGGCTGGGCCAGAAGCTCTGAGCCCGGGGCACCGCATTCTCACCCAAGAGCTTTCTAGGAATTCATTGTCTTACCAGCCACCCGTTTTCCAAGGGGACTTTTCCACCCCAGCTTATCCTGAAAAGCTCTTGGCACATTTCTAACTGGAAATACTTCATCTCTGCCGCAGCGGGCACTTTTCACTTTGGCACCGTGTTTTATTCTCTTCTCCTCATTCTCTTCATCTTATTGAGTTATTCCCTGGCGTCGATCTCGGCACATTCTCTAGGTACTAAGGGCCAGCTCGCTGGCAGTGGCTGCCGCCCCGCTGTCGCCCCGGTGCCGGCGTTTGGTTCACCTGCTGCCTCGAGGTGGCCAGTGCCAGCGTGTCTGCTGTCCTCTCGAACACGTGGTGAACCTTTCCACGCACAAGCCTTTGACCTCAGTTCGTTAGGAGAGACCCCTCGAAGCAGAGGTGCTGGGTCGAAGGGTGTGAATTTTTTTTTTTAAGATCTGATTTATTTATCTCAGAGAGAGAGAGAGAGAGAGAGAGAGAGAGAGAGAGCAAGTACGGGGAGGGGCAGCAGGAGAAAGATCTCAAGCCAAATCTGCGCTGAGTGTGGAGCCTGATGCAGGACTCGATCCCAGGACCCCAGGTTCATGACCTGGGCCACACAGGTGTGCAAAGGGTGTGGACTTGTAAAAAGTTCTTGAGAGCTCTTGCTGGATCCTGCAAAGCCTCTTCAGCCAGTAGAGATGGACAGAACTGTCAGCAGCGCTGCCCGCAGAGTGGCCTGGTCCGGGCTGTGCCGGTGCCCTGGAGGGGGCGCTCTCCAGGGACCCCACACTTGGGGAGGCCAGGAAGCCCCTGTGGCCTTTGGGCGGAGCGAGGGGTGAGGGGCCCGTGGGTTGTCGCACTTGGCTGTGCTCCACCGGCTGCTCAGCGGCCTCCCGCCCCCTGTCCCCCGTTGCTCCGAGGATGCTGTGGATGGCTCCGTGGTCCGGGATTTTGAGCACAGGCCCAAAGCTCCTGTCTTAGACTGCAGCGTGACGGCCGACAGCAGAAGGTGACCTTCCCCGCGCCTCGCCCTGGGCGGGCGGCCTCCGGCTCCCACATGTGTCCCCACGGTGTCCACGTTCTGTGTGAGCGTCAAGGGGACGTGACAACTCTTTGAAAACATAAAGTGCTAAAAAGACAGCACGCATCGAGGCTCCAGTCTGCCTTTCCTTCGTGGACCTGCCTTTCCGTGGCCCCCCAGTGGCCTGCTACGCGGCAAGGGGTCCTGGCGCTGGAGGCCCAGGTGGCATCTCACAGGGGAGTCGGAGGCCCAGGGGTGCCCCCCCCCCTTGGCTGGAGCTCCTCGTGTTTGCAATAGGACACAAGGGCTTTGCATGAAAATAGATTTGCTCGAGCTTCCCGCCCCTCCCTGCCCCCCGCAGCTACAATAAAGCTAAGAAAGACTTGGGTGGGAATTCATCTCACACGGGGGGGGGGGGGGGCGTGGAAACACGCAACGGGTGGGCGGTACACGTACAGTGTTATGTACAAAGGCACATGGCTGCTGTGTGGCTAAGCGTCCAAGAAAACATTCCAGAACAAAGGGAGCTGCCCAAGTGTTTCTGTAAAACAGGTGAGCAGAGAAGGAAGGGGTCGGTCCGTGTGAGCCGCAAGTATCCCCTCAGCAGAAGACGGTCGTTTGCAGAAGGGAACGGTCCCATTAATGCCCCGAATGTGGGAGAAGCTCCCTGGGTGGCGGGGGGACTCAGCAACTGCGGGCAGTGGTGCCTTGGTGTTAGGTTCCATCCGTGTCCAGGGAGGAGCATGGAGGGGGCTTGGGGAGCCTCTTGAGAAAAATTTGGGTATTTACGTACAATCTTGGTCCTAAATTAGAGATTTTCTATGCTTTTTTTTTCTTTTTTCATAGAACCCATAGCTATAACTGTCTGGATCATTTTCTTGGCAGATTTGTCACAGCGTCCCACGACAAAGCGGTGAGGGCTTGGGACCTTGAGACAGGCAAGCTGCTGGTGAGTGTGGCCCCCTAGCATGCAGCGCGAGGTCTTGACTGAGCATCTTGGGGCGAGGGGTGGGAGGGAGGCTTGGGCCGGGCCCCTGGGGTAGGAAGGGAAAACAGGCTCTCAGAAGAGGAGAATTTTCTCAGGGACACTGGGTGACGGAGGTCGGGCATCGGGAAAGAGAGCTTCTTGGGCAGGCAGGGAGGGCTTTTGCTGGAAGGACTGGATACCCAGAGGAGCGGAGCGAGAGGAGCGGGGGCGGGGGTGGAGGAGAGAGGGCACAGCATTCCAGGCTCAGGGAAGTGCATAGGATCAGAGACCCGCCCTGTGGGGTGTTGGGATTCAATGGGACAAAGACCATGTGGTCAAAACACCACGAGTGTTCTGGGGAGCAGCCTCTCCGCAGCAGCCTGGAGGGGCCTCCCTCCATCCACCCATCCATCCAGTCCATCGGGGACCAGCCTGACACTCCGTCCGTCTGTCCCATGCCCAGGCAGCCCTGGTCTGTCAGGGTTTGGGGAGGCTCCCCAGGGAGCTCCTCATCACCTCCCCTTCTCCTCTTTTCTTCTCACTGCAAAGATCAGTTTATATTCACTGTAAGGAGCCCAGAAATTATAGTCAATACCTTGGCATCTCTTTTCCTACGTCTGTGTGCATTTCCCTCTGAGCACAGGTGAGTATGCGCTGCTAACAGCCCAGCATCCTTCTGTACATCCTTTCTGGATCTTGACTCTCTTTTCACTCAAAAATAAATGGTGGGTAGGGTTATATCCGTGTCATCCTTTTTCAGGGATGCATGGATAAGTCAGGCTGTGTTTCACTATTTTTTAAAAAAAGATTTTATTTATTTATTCATGAGAGACAGAGAGAGAGAGAGAGAGAGAGAGAGGCAGAGACACAGGCAGAGGGAGAAGCAGCTCCCTGCAGGGAACCCGCTGCGGGACTTGATCCTTGAACCCCGGGGTCACGCCCTGGGCCGAAGGCAGGCGTCCAACCTCTGTGTCACCTGGGTGTCCCTGTGGGCTTACTTTAAAACGGTGACAGTGCCAATACCGTAACAGTAACATACAGAGAGGCCCTCCTTTCTTGGAACGTTGATGGGCTCGTTGTCCCCTCCCCGAGGTCGGGTGCCAGCCGCTCCAAGGGGACAGTGAGCGACCTGAGGGCCTGGCTGCAGGGTCTCATCTGTGGTGCAAGGTGCAGGGAGGCACTTAACGAACCCCCGTTTACCGAACCGGGTAGGAGGAAAATTGGCTGTTGCCAGAACCACGCTGCCCGTCCCGCCACGTGCTCTACTTGGCCTCGTCGCTCTGGCCTGGGCACGGCCTCGCTAACTACATCTACTAGTCAAACTAGGTGAAACGAAACCAACTTTGAAATTGGGCTCCTTGGCTGCCCTGGCCCATTACGAGGACTCAGAGGCCATGCGCAGCCAGAGGCTCACGGAGTGGACGGTGCGCAGATGGGACGTTTCCATCATCACAGAAAGTTTGCCTGGACGGCGGGGCTAGAGAGAAAACAACCTTTTGATTGTTGCCCCATTCAGTGGAAGATCAAACACAAAACCTTCATAGCCTCCTGTAAGCTTTCTCCCGACGGCAAGTACGTGGTCTCGGCCTTGGACGTGGACCGTGGAATCTGTATAACAGATGCAGAGACTGCCACCACCGTGTCCTACGTCAAAAGTGAGTCTGCACGGGTTCCCCGCTCTGTTCCACCTGCCGGGGCAACAGCCTCTTGTCACTTGACTGACAGTGGCCTGCCTGCCTTCCTTCCTTCCTTCCTTCCTTCCTTCCTTCCTTCCTTCCTTCCTTCCTCCCTTCTTTCCTTTCTTTTTTTTTTTTTAAAGGTTTTATTTGTTTATTCACGAGCGACACACAGAGAGAGGCAGAGACAGGCAGAGGGAGAAGCAGGCTCCTTGCAGGGAGCCCGATGCGGGACTCGATCCCAGGACCCCGGGGTTACGCCCTGGGCCAAAGGCAGGAGCTAAACCGCTGAGCCCCCCAGGGATCCCGGGGTGTCTGGTCTTGATGACACATCGCTGGATGGCCTTCCTGACCTCAGAGAGAGTGTGCACACCCATGTGTGTGTGTTCGCATGCCCGAAGCCCCCTCCCATGTGTACCTTCTGTTTCTGCTGCTGAGCACGGACCTGTGACATGGGTACTGCCCCACGGCCAGCACCTCTCCTTCCTGGGTCACCTCACACTCCACCTGCTCTCATGCTCCAGGGTTTAGTGGCACACCACACTCCTGCACACACTCTGGTCCACCTCCGGGCCTTTGCACGTGCTGCTCCTGCTGCTGGGGGGCCCTCTTCCTACTCTGTGTCTCCTGCTGACTTTGGGGGCCACTCCTCGACCTCTCAGGGCAGGGCCAACCTTCTGCGGGCTGGGAGCTGTGACCTACAGCCCCCCCCCCACTGCGTGGCCCCCCGTGTGCTGTGGGTGGTTGCTGGCACCAGGCCGTCCCCGTTGGACGGGAAGCTCTGTGGGGACAGGGAGTGGGTCATCCGTGCTCCTCAGTCTGAGCCTGGCATGTGGCTGGCCCCCCGGGAAGATGTCTGGGCAAGAGTCCCCAGTGAAATGCGGGGCCGGAATGCGGGGTGACCAGCTGCTTTCCCTGTGCCGCAGATCATCACGCCCGCTCTCTCACCGCATGCTGCTTCGACTCCGACAGCCAGAAGGTGGCTTCTGTCTCCCTGGACAAAAACATCAAGATCTGGGATCTTGCGTCCCAGGCCACGCTGCTCAGCATCACAAAGTGAGGAGGGGCCCCATCCTGAGGCGGGGAGGCCCCCGTGCGTCCCCTGGCTCGGCCTGCATGCTCTCTGCGACCTGGTTGCCGCGCGGGGCATCCCCTAGCTTGGTCCCAGGGCTCGGAGGAGGCTGGAGCTGGAAAGGTGAAGGAGGGAGGCAGCTGGGGGCACAGCATGAGCCTGGCTCAGGGACATTTGTTTCCACATGAGCCAAGCCTGGGACGCAGCGCAGGGCTCCCCTCCTGCCTCCCAAACATGAATTTCCAGCATCTTCTGTGAAGTGGGAAGATGTGATAATCCGGGACCATGTGGGGGTTACAAGGCAGGTGGCTACCCTGAGCGCGCCGGTCCTCTCCAGCAGGCACCTGTGCCCTGTCACCCTGCCTGCAGCACTGTCACGAGCCCTGCTGGCCCCTGGGGATCTGGCCAGGGATTAAGAGGGCGCAGGTTCCTATCCCGGGTGACCTTGGACCTTACGTTCCGCACCTGCAAACGGAGCACAGGTGTGGTCTGAGCAGGTTAGCACAGGCAGGTCCTTGGCTGGGGCCACACAAGCTCTGATACTGAGAGGGACTCCCAGGGCCACCCAGATGGGGGGCGCCGGGGGCCACCTCCCTAGGGTGGTGAGGGGTGCGGGCCACAGGGGTGGCCACAGTTCCAGCGGTGGGCAAGCATTACAGTCCACTGCGCTGTTTTCCCCACGGGGATGGAAGGGGAGATAAGCAAAATGTGTATCGGTATTTCCAATTAACCCAAATGTGTGATCTTTATTTTTTATTTTTGGAAATGTAGCTTTCAGAGGCAGAGGTTCTGAGTGCCACATGACAGGGCTGGCTTCATGGCCTGCAGCCTCTGGAGTTACCCAGGGCCCCCCCACCATGGAGTTGCCCACGCGGGATTTCATGCTCTGCTGTCAGTGTCCCGAAATTCTTAGTTTTTGAAGAAGGGGCTTTGTGTGTTTTTATTTTGAAAATATGTAAGTTACTTTTTAAAAAAAGAATTTATTTATTCATTCATGAGAGGCACAGAGAGAGAGAGAGAGAGAGAGAGGCAGAGACACAGGCAGAGGGAGAAGCAGGCTCCATGTAGGGAGGCTGATGTGGGACTTGATCCCGGGACCCCGGGGTCACACCCTGAGCTGAAGGCAGACGCTACACCACTGAGCCAACCGGGCGCCCCCTCTAAATTACTTTTTGAAAATGCAAAACGTGAAACACGGAACAAAATTAAAAAGGAGCGAAAGGATCTCTAGTGAACAATCTCTCTTACCTGCCTCATGGTCATGCGCTTCCTGCTTTCCCTCCTTCCTGCCTGTCTTCCGTTCTCTCTTGGCAGCTTTATTGATAGATAATTCACACATCAGAGAACGCGCGCATTTCAAGTGAACAGTTCAGTGGTTTGGAGGATATCACATTATGTTTTAAATTCCAGCAAAACTGGGATCCCTGGGTGGCGCAGCGGTTTGGCGCCTGCCTTTGGCCCAGGGCGCGATCCTGGAGACCCGGGATCGAATCCCACGTCGGGCTCCCGGTGCATGGAACCTGCTTCTCCCCTCTGCCTGTGTCTCTGCCTCTCTCTCTCTTACTGTGTGCCTATCATAAATTAAAAAAAAAATTAAAAAAAAATAAATTCCAGCAAAACTAATATACAAATGTAAAATTTTCCTTTTTTTAAAAGATTTTATTTATTCATGGGAGACACAGAGAGAGAGAGACTGAGGCAGAGACACAGGCAGAGGGAGAAGCAGGCTCCATGCAGGGAGCCCGATATGGGACTCGATCCCGGGACCCCAGGATCATGCTCTCAGCTGAAGGCAGACAACCGCTGAGCCACCCAAGCGTCCCAACAACGTAAAATTTTCATTTTGAACATTTAAAAAAAAGATTTGTTTATTTATTTTAGAGAGTGCATCAGGGAGGGCGACAGGGAGAGGGAGAGAATCTCAACCTTGAGTGTGGAGCTGACACAAGGCTCGATCTCTCCACCCTGAGATGGCACCTTGAGCAGAAACCAAGAGTCGGATGCTTAACTGACAAAGCTACCCAAGTGCCCCTCATTTTAACCATTTTAAAGTTAACCCCTGGCACTAATGACATTTACAGTATTGTGCAACCATCACCACTGTCTATTTACAAAACCCTTTCATTACCCAAGCAGGAACTCTGTGTCCACTAAACCATAACCCCCACTCCCTCCAACCCCAGAGCCTAGTAACCTCTGTTCTACCCTCTGCCTCTGGGAATTTGCCTAGGCTGGATATTCCATACAAATGCCATAATGTGCTCTTTCGTGTCTGGCTTATTTCACTCAGCACACTGCTTGCAAAGTTCACCCATGTAGCATCTATAAGAAACTTCATTCCTTTTTATGACCTAACGATATTCCGTTGTATGGATCAACCACATTCCGTTGATGTGCTCATCTGTCGAGTGACCCTTGAGTTGCTTCTGTCCTCAGACCATTGTGAACAGTGTTTCCAAGAACATCAGCAGACAGGTATCGGTTCAAGTCCCCACCTTCAGTTCTTTTGGCCTAGGAGCGGACCTCCGGATCAGATGGTAATGCTATACGTAGCTTTTTAAGGAACCAGGGCCTTGCATTTTAATTTTTCCCTGGGTCCTGTCAATTATGGAGCTGGAGGATTTTCAAAATTCATCATCTTAATGGATTTGGAAGCTTGCAAGAAGTAAACATAAAAAAAAAGGAATGAACATAAATAAATGATTTTGGGGGGTGGATTTCAAACGTCAAGCACAATTTAGAAAACTCAAGAAGTCTATTGTATTTACCCATACTTTCGCTTATATTCTTTCTGATGTTCCAGTTTTCCTTATTTCACCATTTCCTTTCTGTCTAGAACAATTCCTTTCAGCTATTCTTTGAGGGTACTTCTGAGAGCAACAAATTCTTAGAGCTCTCTATTCAGAAAATGTCTTGATTTTTCCTTCCTCCCTCCCTCCCTTCCCCCCCCTTTCTTTCTTTATTTCTTTCTTCCAAGAGAGTGCATGCACAGGTGGGGGGAGGGGTTGAGGGAGAGAGGAGGGGGGAGGGGCAGAAGGACAGGAGGAGGGAGAATCTCAGACAGACTCCATGCCCAGTGCAAGCCCCACGCAGGGCTCAATCTCACAACACTGAGATCACCACCTGATCCAAAATCAAGAGTGGGACACTTACCCACCCAGGCACCCCTCCTTCATTCCTAAAGGATATTGTTGCCGGATATAAAAACTGGGGTTGACAGGTTTGTTTCTTTCATTATTTAAAATATGTCCTGTCACTTCTCATCTTCATGGTTTCTGATGAAGAATCCACTGCTATTCAAATTGTTTTTCTCCAAGGTAAGGTGCCATTTCTCTCCTGCTGCTTTCAAGATTTTTTTCTCTGTTTTAAGTTATCAGAAGTTTATGTATTTAATTTCATTTTAAAAACATAATCTCTACCCCCAACATGGAGGCTCGAACTCATAACCTAGAGGTCAAGTGTTGTATTTGAAGTTTAATTATGATGTGTCAGGGTGTAGATTTCTTTGGGTTTATCCTACTTTAGTTTTTTTTTTTTTTTAGATTTTATTTATTTATTCATGAGAGACACAGAGAGGCAGACACACAGGCAGAGGGAGAAGCAGGCTCCCTGCAGGGAGCCTGATGTGGGACTTGATCCCGGGACTCTGGGATCATGCCCTGAGCCAAAGGTAGATGCTCAACCACTGAGCTACCCAAGGTGTCCCCCTACTTTAGTTTCAGGTGGCTTTTTGAATCTATAGGTTTATGTCTTTTGCCATATTTGGTAAGATTTCAGATATAGTCTCTGATTACTTTTTCAGCGATACCTACTTTTCCTCTGGAACTCTGATGACACAAATTTCAGATCTTGTGTTATAGTCCCACAAGTCTTTCAAGTTTTTTTTCCTCAGTCTATTTTTTGGACTGTTTAATTTATATTGTCTGTTTTGATATTCACTGATTCTTTCCTCTGTCCTTTTCATTGAATATTTAATTTTGGATATCATATTTTTCAGTTCTAAAGTTTCCATTTGGTCCTTTGTCACATCTATGTCTTCACTGAGGCTTTCTATTTTTTCATTTGTTTCAAGCATGATTATACTTGTCGAAGTATTTTATGGTGACTGCTTAAAAATCCTTGTCAGATAATTCTAATGTCTGTGTCATCTCACTTTTGGGCATCTGTTGATTATCTTCTCATTCACAATGAGATTTTCCTGGCTCTAAGTATGATGAGTGATTTTTATTTTGTGTCATGGACGTTGTGTGTATTAATTACATTAGGAAATAGTCGTATTTTAAAAAAGATTTCATTTATTCATGAGAGACACACAGAGGCAGAGACAAAGGCAGAGGGAGAAGCAGGCTCTTTGTGGGGAGCCTGATGCGGGACTCGATCCTGGGACTCTGGGATCACACCCTGAGCTAAAGGCAGACACTCAACCGCTGAGGCACCCAGCGCCCCAATACTCAGTCTTAAAACCTGTCCTCGCAGGGCACTTAAGTAGAGCCTGTTAAACACGGCAGTCTAGGCTCCCGTCTTGGCCCTTGCTGACCTGGGTGGGATGGGAGGCAGGTTTTCCTGAGATGCTTGGCTGGAATACGGTGGGTAGTGTCTAAAAGTTTTCCGTCTTGCTCGGTATCCATTTGGTTAGGGAGAACAGGCTTTTCTTGAGGGCCTTTTTATGGTCCCCATTGTTTTGGGGGTTATAGGCTTTTCACTACAGGATATATGAAGAAAAATAAAGTCTAGGGACTCCCAGCATACCATTCTTGGGTCCCAAGATATCTTGCTGGTCTGCCTTCTTGTCTCCATCTTTTCTAGTCTCCTCTTTGCTTTATAAATGCCCAGGATTGTTGGCTGCCCTTAGCAGGAGGTATAGGGAGAAGTGAATTGATTCCATCTTGTCCAGAAACAGGTACAATGTAAGCTCTTTCCTCAAACTTTTGTACTAAGTACAACAGTCTCTTATGAGAAGTGGAATTTATTTGAAATGAGAACCCCATCCTGGAAAATAGAGATAGTGCTGGCTTAAATCCCAACAACAGTGTTTGGATTCTGGGGAAGGCTTTTTATCCATCTCCAGTGAATGCTGGGATAGCTCTTAGCCTAACAGCCACAGGAATTTGGAAAATTTTACCCTGGACACCCCTGGGACATTGACGTTTCTTCTCCTTTGCTCTTACTCAGTCTGTGCATTACAAAGAACTGAAACAGAATGCAAAACTCTGACTTGAGCTCTAGAAAAAAGTTTTTTCCAAGCCTGCTTTCAAGTAAAATGACTGATTTTACGATCCAGACTACTCAGAGATGCTCATTTATGTTCATAGGTTCTCTTGAAAGCTGTTTATAACAGAAGATGAGATTCACAGGGAAAATACTTTGAGGATCACAAAGAAAACAAAAATAGCAAAGTTATGGCATTTTTTTCTGTCATAAAAAGAGACATAAAAATTGAGAATGGATGACTCAAAACTTAATTGAACACACAGCATTAAGCTATGGTTTAATTTCACTGAATACAGATGAGGAGAGAGGGAGAGAAGAGAGGGAGTAGTTGGGAAGGGAAGTAGGAGGGTGTGGTAAGAGAGGGCTGGGGCAGGAGTACCTGGTAGAAGGAGCCAAGCCCCCACGTCTCGGAGAGAAAGGAGGCAGAGGGTGAGCAGGAGAAGCCCACCTATTAAGTGTGGTCACAGTACCAAACCCAACAGGGCATTATTCTTTTGACCACCACTAATGGATTTTCTGACGCTCTTTTTTCTCAAGGGTGAGGTAGCTCTAAGTAGTGCCGTGGTTCTCAATCAGGGGCAATTTTGCCCTCCGCCCCCAGTGGACAATTTTCCAATATCTGGAGACATTTTTAGTTGTCACAGCTAGGTGTCGGGACTACTGGCATCTAGTGGGTGGAACCCAGGGTTGCTGCTAAACATCCCACGATGTATGGGGCAACCCCCTACCGCAAAGAATTGTGAGTAGCACAAAATGTCAATATAACCACGACTGAGAAATCCTGGGATAGTGTGGCACAGTCAGAGCAATTAAGATCTGGACCATGGTAATATATACATAATGGAATATTACTCAGCCATCAAAAAGAATGAACTCTTGCCATTTGCAATGACGTGGATGGAGCCAGAGTGTATTCTGCTAAGTGAAGTAAGTCAGCAAAAGACAAATACCTTATGACTTCACTCATGTGGAATTTAGGAGGCAAAACAGATGAACATAGAGGAAGGGGGGAAAGAGAGAGAAAGAGGGAAGCAAACCATATGAGACTCTTAAACTGAAGGTTGATGGAGGGAGGTGGGTGGGGGATGGGCTAAATGGGTGATGGGTAGGTCTAAGGAGGGCGCTTGTCGTGTTGAGAACTGGGTGTTGTATATAAATGAGGAATCACTAAATTCGACTCCTGAAACCAATATTACACTGGATGTTTACTAACTAGGATTTAAATAAAAACTTGGAAAAAAAAAAAAAGATCCAGACCATGGTAGGCAGTGAAGGAAGGAATGATGTCCATTAGGTCATAGGGGATCAACTACAGCGCCCGTCATCCCGGGTGTGTCCTCACATCCTCCAGGCATGAAGTGCTAATGTGTGCACCCTTCCGTCTGTGTTTCAGGGCTCATTCCAGTGCAATCTCAAACTGCTGTTTCACCGTCAGTGGCCATTTCCTATGTACAAGCTCTTGGGATAAAACCTTAAAAATATGGAATGTGCACACAGGGGAGTTTCGAAACTCTGGAGCCTGTGTGACTCTAATGCAGGGCCATGAAGGTTCTGTGAGCTCCTGCCACTTTTCCAGAGACAGTGAGTAATTAACCCGTGGAAAGATTTCACACCTGTGGGAACGCTGGGGGTGGCTCTCCTCACGTTCCACTCACACGGGTTTTCCGTAGGGTGGACAGACAATTTCTAATGATGCCAATGGCGAGGGTGGATTTATTTTCAAACAAAAAAAGAACAAAACCCGAAAGGGACATTCACACGCAGAAATGTGCAAGTAAGAGAGACTCAGCTTACTGTGGCTTAGCGGCCAAGATAGCTGTTGACCCCCATAATGGGAAAGTCCAAGGGCAGGTCTCAGTTCAGGTGTGGCTGGGTCCAGACACCAGACAATGCTGTCAGGGAGCCAGTCCTGGGAAGAGAGAACCATCTTTAAGATGCTCCCAGCACAAGTCCCAGGGAAGTTTTTCATTGGCTCAGCTTGGGACACACCCACTTCTGAGCCAATCACTTTAGCAGGGGAGGCCTCTGATTGGCTAGGATCGAGCTCCCCTCCCACCCCCCCGTCAGAGTCTACCCTCCAACCACAGGGACTGAGAGTACATGTGGGCTCTTTCCCTGTGGGAAATCGGGGCGCTGTTGCCAAATGTAGGGTTGGGGATGCCAACGGGTGATGACGGGAAGCGGCCTCGGGCCACTAGCCTCGGCAAGGGAAGCGACTGCTCCCGAAACTCAGGACCCGGTGGCTTTACTCCTCCTCCATCCTCGTCAGGAGTGGGGTTCGCTCTGTGTGTGTTTCAGGGGCCCCCCAGCCAGCACAGAAGCAACCAGAGCCTGGCTGGCCAAATGCTGGGGCGCTTTTGAACAATGTCTCCTCTTCCCCGGTGGCCTCTGTGTGAGTCAGGCCCCGTTATGAGGGGTCCCACCAGTGTCCGTCCTTGCATTTTGGGGGGTTCGGGGCTACCTACGGTCAACCAGCACTATCCTCGCATTGCACATTTGTGCATTAGCATCCTGGGTAAAATTTACCCGTGACCCTGAAATCAGCAGGTGCGGCGCCGGCGGGAGGCCGCAGGGGCCGTGGACCCCGGGCCACGCTGCAGGCTGCCTGCCGCCGAGCTGGGCGGCGCCCCGTCTTCTTGTTTCAGCTCTCTTCTTGTAAAGCGCCCCTTCTGCGGCCTCTGTGGTGCCCAGTCGTTTTGCATGTTGTGGTGTGGGTTGCTGCTCCTGCTGCTTACGGAGCCCCGAGCCCGCCGGGTGCGGGGGGTCGGCCCGGGCGGGGCGGGAGCTGGAGCCCCGAAGGGCGCGCACTTCATGGTGATGGACACACAGTCCGGATCAAAGAGAGCGGGTTTCAACAGAAACAGACCCCGAACCAGGTCACGTACCGCTGGCTTCACGGATTGTCACAGCCCCGAGTACTGAGAATTGGCTGTGACGGGCTGGGGGTCATGGAGCTGCCCCAGGAAGGGGCTGGGGTGTCCTCGGAGCCAACCACGGTGGCACCTCACAAATGCAACCTCTCAGTCTGCTTTGACCTCGCCGAGGGAGGAGGCACTTGGCTGGGGAGGATGAACCCCCCTCCCTCCCACCATCCCCCACCCCCCCCACCACCCCCTGAAACTCTGGCATTTTGTGTCCTAGCCTCTTTTCTCGTGTCTGGAGGGTTTGACAGGACCGTGGCCATCTGGGATGTAGGAGAAGGCTACCGGAAGCTCTCCTTGAAGGTACCAATGGCAGTACCAGGTAGAGGGTCAGGTGGGGTGCTGGGTGCTGGGGATACAGCAGCCAGGGAGACAGGCCTAGAGGCGTCCACTGGAGCTGACACCTCTGTGCAGAACTGACGAGGAACCGACAAGCAGATCACTGACAAGAAATCACAACAGGGTGATGTGATAGCAACAGATGCCAAGGACTAATCCACAGAGGGTGGGCAGGGAGGGCTTCTTGGAGAAGGTGGCACTTAAGCTGAGAACTCGATGGTAAGGAAAGACTGGGTGAATGGGGGAAGGGTGTTCTAGGCAGAGGGAACAGCAAATGCAGAAACAGGTGGAAAAGTGTGGGCTCCAGTGATGGCGACCCACCCAGTGCTTCTGCCTCCAGTTAGAGGAGACACAACGCAAAGTGGCTTCTACGAGGGGATGGAGTCCGACACTGCGAGAGTGCGGAGCGCCCGGCCCCGAGGTTCCCGCATCCTCCCTGGTCTTGTGATCTCGTGGTCTGGCTGCGAATGCTTGACTCCACCACTCAGGCCCCTCTGTCCCCGTGGCCCCAACGTAGACTCTGTCCCCTTGATCACCACAACATTTGGGCTCCCAGGCCGGGTCTGTCTCGAGTGCTGTTCTGCAGGGATTCTGGGGGAGCCAAAGGGAGTTCACATCACTGCAAATAAATGGCTTAAAGCTGAGCATTCATCCTCCCCGTGTTAAAAAGTCCCTTAAAAGACCTCAGTAAGTGTCTGAACCCACAGTGGTACCTCCCTGCTCTGAGCTCCCTTTTACCAGAGGAAAACCACCCCCCATTTGCTTCGTCTGGCTGCAGCAGATAGGTTTGCAGTGACTTGAAGCAAAAGCCCCCGCACCAGGAGGGCCTCAAAGAACGCAAACAAGAGCCTGCAAGAGGCCTCTGGACCAGCTGGGAATATATAGTCATCGCCCCCTGCCCCCCCGGACCCGCCGGCCCCTGCCCGCCCCTGCCCCACGTTCCTGCTAGACACTTCAGACAGTACCATTTAACACACACACACACACAGTGCCAGAATGCACACTTGCATCAACCACCTTTACCCTTCCCGTTCCACCTTAGATGTCATCGGTGCCACCAGGGAGGCACAGTGAGCAGCTCCTAAATGTGTGCTGCCCCGGGGGCCCGACTCTGTTTTTTTGTTGTGCTCACCGAGGTTTTTCCTCTAGGTGCCTGTTAAAATTTAATTTTTCTTCAGGGCCACAGTGACTGGGTGACAGACGTTGCCATTAGCAACAACAAGAAATGGGTCCTGTCTGCTTCAAAGGTAAACGTGACCAACCTTCGGGTAACTTACAATTTCTCTCACATTTGTGAGATAGGTGTTAACCGAGGTGTTCCTGTCAAGCAGAATTCCTGGGCTGGCGCAGTCTGAGCACCCCCCCCCCACCCTCCACCACCCTCCTGGCCAGGCCATCCTCATTCAGGGAGCTGGCGGGGAATGTGGAAAGCGGGTCCCTATGGCTGCTCATGTGGGGGGTTGCTGGGTATTTCTGAGTCTGCAGCCATTGGCATCTGAGCTTTGCTGGAGCAAAGGCCTGCCCAGGCTGGTGAGTGATGGAGCCAGCAGGGCCTGTAGGGGGCAAGGTGTGAGCTCGCTGGTGAGCAGAGGCCACCCTGAGCTCCCAAGTGAGCCTTCCCTCTCTGCATCACTGCGTCCTGGAATTTCCATGCCAATGGTACAAAAGAGCGCACCCAGGGTATCCCGGGGTATGAGTGCAAGTGGGGGTGCCACCTTGCTCCCCTGCTGGCCTTGGTTAGTGCCATGTCATTCTCTAGCCTGGGGGTTTCTAGGTGTACGGGACTGTGGGCAAGAATCTGCCTACCGTGACCAACTTGTCAGAGAGCCAACCCAGACACTGCCAACTGGACCCAAATACCATACAAATATAACACATAATGAAAGTTCTATGCCATGTGTTAACGTAACTTAAAAATAGGAAAAATGGGGGCACCTGGGGTTGAGCGTCTGCTTTCAGCTCAGGGTGTGACCCCAGAGTCCTGGGATCGAGTCCTGCAGGGAGCCTGCTTCTCCCTCTGCCTGTGTCTCTGCCTCTCCCTGTGTCTCTCATGAATAAATAAATAAAATCTTTAAAAAAATATGAAAAATGACTATGGCAACTATATCTCAGTAAAGCTGGAAACAAGAAAAAGTGCAAACCAAAGTAAGAAATATGAAGGTTTATTTGAAATGTATGTCTTATTCTGTATTTTTCACTTCTCTGTTCCATAAAGGCTAGTATTGAAACAATAATAATTGGACTACTTGACGGGGGCAATTGGTAGTACTTAATCATAGATAGGACTCATTAAATATGTCTAAAAAATATAAAAGTATTTTATAATATTTCTGTCTTATAGCAATTTATTTAGACTTTAAAAAACTCTTCACTGGACATTGAAGGTTTGTGGGCTATATATACCATCATGTATGCTTAAGATACATAAACATAAGATTTTAAAAAGCGACTACAAATACAATAGAATTGATTAAAGAGGTATTACCTCTATTTATTTGTGTATCTATTTCTCCAGCTTTACTGAGCTATAACTGACATATAACGTGGCCTAAGTCCAAGGGGGGACTGTGTTCTCTGAGCTGCTGCAGCCTCGGGAGGCCCTTCTTTGCTGTAGCAGTAAAACAAAATACTGACCAGCGTAAAATCACTTTGGCCTGCAGCTCTGCTCTCAAGCCCACTTTTCACCCATTCTCGGTGTCAGGCCACGAGATGCCATCAAGCTAAACAGCCTCTCAACAAAGGCTGCTGATCGTGGAGCACTCGGGATTTTACTTACTAGACACCAGCAGTGTTTAGATTTGTGGGAATTCATTTCCGGCTCTCCAAAGCCGTCTGGCTGCGGTAAGTCTGCAAACCTCTCTTAGTGGACGAGCGGTATTTGTCGCCAGGTCGTTTGCCACAGTAATTGCACTGGCTAGGCCAGCCCTGCCGAAGTGGCCATTATTGTAAAGCCCTCGGAAGTACACTGGATGCCGTCGAAACTCGAGCTTCTCCTTCTCAGGGAAATGGCTTTAGCACAGGGGTGATTTGCACTTGTGATAATAAAGCTGGATTCCAAATAAGGTTTGATTTTAGTACAGACACTGAGAATGTCCTCGTTGGTGTGACTGTAATTTTCTGGTGAAATTTTTTTTAAATATTTTATTTATTTGACAGAAAGAGGGGGAAAGAGAGAGAGAGCACCGCAGGGAGAGGGAGAAGCAGACTCCCTGCTGAGCAGAGAGCCGGACCTAGGGCTTGACCCCAGGACCCTGGGATCATGACCTGAGCCAAAGGCAGACGCTTAACCCACTGAGCCACCCAGGTGCCCCAGGGTTTTTGTTTTTTTTTTTAAGTATTGAAGCAGTCCTATTTCCAAAAAAAATGAATCCTGTTTTCACTGTATGAATTTTTGTCACAACCTGCAACCAAGGGGCAGTCGCTTCACCCACCTACAGGCTCGCCGTGGCCTCTTTGAAGACCCTCAAACGCTGTTGGAGAACAGTGTATACCTTTCTTGTAATTCTGTTGTCGCCTTTCCTCCACTCTCGTCCTCAGTGCATTTCAAAGCCAGAGGACATTCCTCTTATGCCACACTTTAAAAAAAAATATGATTCTGTGGCAGGCCCACATTTTAAATACCTTCTCTAGAGCCGGCAATGCTAACGACCATCTCAGAGGTACATGGTTAAAGAGTACATCTTCCTCCATTTCTACAAAGTCATCATCTTTAAGTGCTTCTGCACCTTTTGAGGAAGGGGAAAAGCGACTAAAAACTTAATTTATTAAGAAAGACCACAGGGGTCCCAGCGGAGTCGCAAAAAAAAAAAAAAAAGAAAAAGAAAGAAAGAAAGAAAGACCACAGGGTGACCCGGGGGGGCTCGGTCAATTACGTGTCAGTCTCAGTTTTGGCTCAGGTCTTGATTTCAGGGTCACGGGATCAAGCCCCTCGTCGGGCTCCATGCTTAGTGGGGAGTCAGCTGAAGAGTCTCTCCCTCTGGGACTCCTGAGTGACTCAGTGGTTGAGCACCTGCCTTTGGCTCAGGTGGTGACCCTGGGGTTATGGGATCGAGTCCCATGTTGGGCTCCCTGCATTGAGCCTGCTTCTCCCTCTGCCTGTGTCTCTGCCTCTCTCATGAATAAATAAATAAAATCTTAAAAAAAGATTCTTTCCCTCTCCCTCAGTTCCTCCCCCCAACCCCTTGCTTGTCTCTCTAATAAATTAATTAATTAAAAAAAATACCTGGAGCAATTGGGTGTCTCAGTTGGTTAAGCATCTGCCTTTGGCTCTGGTCATGATCCCAGGGTCCTGGGGTTGAGCCAGGAGGCCCCTTCTCCCTCTCCCTCTGCCTGCCACTCCTCTGCTTGTACTGTCTCTCTCTGTCAAATAGGTAAATAAAAATCTTGAATGAAAAAAAAAAAGGACCCAACATCGCGGGTGAGCAAATCACACTCCTTTTTGGTGGGTGGTATGCAGGATGTGCTGCCGTTTAACAGGTGAAATCTTTTCATTTATTTGGGAGGAAGTTAGCAGGCTGAATGGAGTTTGCCAGAATTTACATTTGCATTGTCTGCTGAATATGTAGATAGATGAGCAATGTCTAGTTAGTATTCAGATAAGATGTCAACACGCTTTTGTTTTAGGTTTTCTGCATTTTCATAAAATCTTCACAGAAACCAAGAAGATGATTTGAAACTCCCAACTTTTGAATCAAAGTATTTACAGGGTAGGTGGTGGGGATTCGACAAGTCACTTGATATACTGTGGAGTGTATGATCATTGGTGGAACCTGACGGCTCCACTCGGCGAGGGGCCAACAAGGATGTAATCGCGTGCCCCTTCTGTTCTCCCGCAGGACATGTAGTGGTACCTGCTGGTTCAGGAAAGGTAACATTACTCATGGTCTCTTATTGCAGCTGTAATACGTCACCATACCCTTCATCCCTTACACGACAAAAACTGAAGATCTTACAGTTCTGTGAGACAGAAGTATGACAAAGTCTTGCTAGGCTAAAATCCAGGCACCCACAGGACTGTATTCCTTTCTGGAGGCTATAGGGAATTATCTATTACCTTCCCCACTCCAGCTTCTAGAGGCCACCCACACTCCTCGGCTCCTGCATTTTCTCCCATCCTCAAAGCCGACAATGTTGTATCTCTCTGTTCCTTTCTTCCGTAGTCTCATATTCCTCTCACTGTGTTGTCCACTTTTAAGTACATTTGTTATTATGTCCAGCCCAGCCCACCTGCATAACCCAGAACATTCCCCCTATTCTAAGATAAGCTGATTAGCGAACTTTGTTCCATCTGCAACCTTAATTCCCACCTTTTAATTTAATTTTTTTAAAACATCACATTTTTAAAAATTTATTCGAGAGAGAGAGAGGCAGAGACACAGGCAGAGGGAGAAGCAGGCTCCATGCAGGGAGCCTGACATGGTACTTGATCCCAGGACCCCAGTATCACGCCCTGGGCCGAAGGCAGCGCTAAACCACTGAGCCACCCAGGGATCCTCGCTCCCTCCCCCACTTTTTAAAAAAAGATTTTACTTATTTATTCACAAGAGACACACAGAGAGGCAGAGATATAGGCAGAGGGAGAAGCAGGCTCCCTGCAGGGAGCCCCATGTGGGACTTGATGCCAGGACCCTGGGATCAGGCCCTGAGCTGAAGCCAGACACTCAACCCCTGAGCCACCCAGGCGTCCCCCTTAATCCCCTTTTGTAACCTGATATGTTCATGGGTTCTGGGGATTAGGAGGTGGACTTCTGGGAGGTGGGCATTGTTCTGCTGACTACACTCCATTTCATAAGAACAATCACAGGAATGATACGATGATGGATGTTCATTTGAGCAGTATTCCCAAACGAATTCATCAGTTACTACTGTCTCAGGAGTACTGGTGTCTTTTTTTAAAAAATAGATTTTGTTTTATAGAGCAGTTTTGGGTATACAGAGTTAGGCTAATAGTATGGAGCGCTCCCTTGCAGCGACCCTCAGTTTGTTCCCTAGAGTTAAAAGTCTTTTATGCTTCGTCTCCCTCTCTGATTTCACCCTATTTTCCTTCCCTTCCCCTATGATCCTGTTTTGTTTCTTAAATTCCACATGAGTGAAAGCATATGACATTTGTCTTTCTCACTGACTTATTTCACTTAGTGTAATATCCCATTCCACGTCATCGCAAATGGCAAGATTTCCATCTTTTTGATGGCCGAGTAATATTTATTTGAGAAGACAGAGAGAGGGAGGGGACAAGTGTGCACTAGTG